CAGGTGTGGAGGCGGGACCCCATGGCCAGTCAGCAGGTCAGCGGTGCCACCGAGGGCCTACGGCCGGTCTCCCTGCCCCGCCCCTGCAGGCATCGTCCACGCCACCTCTCACAGCTCCAACACGCCTGCCCGTGTCCTGCCGCAACCCGTATGTGTGACTGATAACGACAGACGTGACCCCTGCAGGCCGTGCTCACCCCCGGGCTGCTGAGACCGCCTCAGCCCGGCTCGGCCCCGGCCCCGAGTGTCTCTGTGTTCGCTCTCCGCACGGGGAGCCCATGGTCAGACGGTGAACAGGGCAGAATGACACGGAGCCAGGCCTCTGTCCTGCCTGGGTGTGCTCCTTAGGCTGGGCCTGGGTGCCGAGACTTCCGTGACAGGAGCTGGCAGATAACACCCCTCCCCCAGGGTCCCGGAGGAAGGGAGTGGGAGCCCAGGAGCAGGAACTCGGGGCCCAGGAATGTGGGGTGCCTTCCCCTCTCCTCCAGGCATGACCTGGCAGCCCATCTGTGATTCTCTCCCATCACTGATGCTTCTCTCCCTCTCCCTCTCCCTGCCTCTCTGACATCATTAAGAATATATTTAAAATAAAAGGAAGTCTAGGAAGGTGATGGGCCTCAGCCTTGGCAATGACCGTGCTGATCTGACTCCAAAGCTCAGCAACAAAAGCCAAAGTCAATGGTGGGACGACATCAAACGCGGACGCTTCTGCTCGCCGAGGGCCGAGCGGCAGAGCGAACGGCCCCTGTGGATGGGGAGAGATTCACAAGTCACATATCCGACAAGGGATTAATATGCAAAATCTATAAGCAGCTCACACAACGTAATACCAGAAATACCCGGTTTAAAATGGGCAGAGGCCTGGAACAGACATTTCCCAAAGAGGACATGCCCCTGGCCAACACCGATGAGCTGGGGCCCAGGCCCGGGGGAACAAAGGGTGCGGGTGAGAGGCTGGGGCGGGTGCGGTCACCACTGTCCCCCTGATCGCACTTCGGGCATGTGGTTTTGAGGTTCAGATACTCAGTCCGTCGGACGCGTCTTCACACCTGGACCGTCCGCAGCCACCACCACTCTCCTGGCCAGGGCACAGGACAGCGAAGACGGCGCGGGAGCCAGGCCCTGGGCAGGCTCGTGTGTCCTCCTGTGAGGAGCTCAGCTCAGGGACGGGAGAGCAGAGGCGGGCGGCATGGCTGGTCACACCGCACTGGGGGGTGGGCGCTGCTCTGGGCATGGCCTTCTCTGTTAACCCTAATGCCCGTCCAAATGGGGTAAATGAGTTACAGAAAGTTAAGTACATGCCTGAGGTCCCGGAACTGGATAGAGAGGGGAGGCCACGATGAGATGCAAACCGGGCCGGACTGGCTGCAGCCACCGCGCTGCTCGCAGCCACACAGCCGGAACCACCACACCGGCCACACACGGGCACCGCGGGACAGCTTCGCTCCAGGGGGAGGCACTCGCCTCCTTAAGGGCAGTTAGTTCAGAGCTGTTTCTCCAGGCCCGCGGTCAGCAAACTGTGCCTCGCGAGCCACAGGCGGCTCTTTGGCCCCTGGAGTGTGGCTCTTCCACAAAACGCCACGGCCTGGGAGAGTCTATTTTGAAGAAGTGGAGTTAGAAGAAGTTTAAGTTAAAAAAAATTGGCTCTCTAAAGAAACTTCAATTGTTGTACTGTTGATATTCGGCTCTGTTGACTAATGAGTTTGCCAACCACTGGTCTAGACTGTTCTCCATGACTTTGAATGTTCTTATTTTGAATGTATACATCAATTTGAGGAGAATTCACTTCTCTACAACAGTCTTCCCATCAATGAACATCCTATCTATCTAAGTTCTTAATTTCTCTCAAACCTTAGAGTTGTAAGAATTATTCTTAGGTGCTTTTAAAGTTTCTATCTTTTAAAAAATATATTTTTATTGATTTCAGAGAGGAAGGGTGAGGGAGAGAGGAATAGAAACATCAATGATGAGAGAGAATTGCTGATTGGCTGCCTCCTGCATGCCCCCTACTGGGATCGAGCCTGCTACCTGGGCCTGTGACCTGACTGGGAACCGAGCCATTACCTCTTGGTTCACAGGTCGATGCTCAACCACTGAGCCACGCCAGCTGGGCTAAGTTTTCTATCATAAAGATTATTTTAAAACACATTTCCTGTCTTTGTTGCTAAGTAACTAGGAATGCAATTAATTTTACATTGATTTTTTGGGAGTAAGGAGATTTCATTTCACTGCATGTGGGAATGATCGATACGTAGACTCGTGTTCTCTGCACACAGCCCTTCCTGAAGGCGCGTGGCTGCTCCCATCCCCGCTGTTTCTGTGGGTGTCGGCGGCCCCGGGCCTCCGGGGTAACGGAGGGCAGAGTTGGGGCAGCTGGCACCCCGGCTTCTGGCTCTAAGCTGTTTGCGAATATTCTGTCCCTTTTGCTCTCACACTGACGGCCTCGGCCTCGACTGCTGTTCTGGGCCGAGTGACCTCCTTCCACGTGCAAACTCCAAATTCTGTGTCCGAGCCCCTCTCCCAGGCGTCAGCAGGCGATGTGGGTGGAGACGGGCCTTTGAGGAGGCTGTGAGGGGGGGGCTCTGACCCAAGCTCACTGGGTCCCCGATGCGAGAGGAGGTGACGGGCACAGAGAAAAGACAGACACTCGGACCTCGAGGACACGGAGAGGCAGCTCTCAATAGGTTATGGCTGGGAGTTTTTAAATATATTTTATTGATTTTTTACAGAGAGGAAGGGAGAGGGATAGAGAGGTAGAAACAGATCAGCTGCCTCCTACATGCCCCCTACTGGGGATGTGCCCGCAACCAGTGTACATGCCTTTGACCAGAATCGAACCTGGGACCCTTCAGTCCGAAGACCCACGCTCTATCCACTGAGCCACACCGGTTTCGGCAGCTTGGAAGTTCTGTTTCTGGAATGTTTGTGGACCCCTGGATGGTGAACCTCCCTGGTGTGGCGCTCCTGTGGGAAGGACTTAAATGGTTGTTCCTTTACTGATGACGCGTCTGTTGTCACGCACTGTCCTGGCACTGTGGTCCTTCTGTCTGGACACGCATCGTGGGCTGGGCGTTCGCTAGCATCCTCTGAGATGCTTCCCACTGCCCCGTTCTCCTCTGTCTTAGAGCATCTCCTGGTCACCACTCTGATGTTCTTTGCTTAGCTGCTTCTCAGTGATTTTCTTTTTCTTTTCTTTCTTTTTTAAAAAATATATATATTTTATTGATTTTTTATAGAGAGGAAGGGAGAGAGATAGAGAGCTAGAAACGTCTATGAGAGAGAAACATCGACCAGCTGCCTCTTGCACACCCCCTACCGGGGATGTGCCCGCAACCAAAGTACATGCCCCTGACCGGAATCGAACCTGGGACCTTTCAGTCCGCAGACCGACGCTCTATCACTGAGCCAAACCGGTTTCGGCTCTCAGTGATTTTCTTGGTGGATCTCCTCAGGTTTGTTCCAGCTCCACTGAACGCACCCTCTGCCTTTCCCTTCTCTGGTGGCCCTGGCCGAGCCCTCTCAGTCTGGCCGCAGGAGTAGGTGTCCACGGACCTGCCTGCAGGGGCCCGTGGGTGCTGACCGGCCGGAGCGGGCAGCTCAGCGGGCTCACGTGTGCCTGTGAGTCTCCCAGCTAGCTTGTCCTCCCACAAATGGTCTCTCAGACCAGAAGAGGGGCCTGTGTCCCCGAGCTGCGGCAGGAATCAGCTTGCCTTTTCTCTTTCAAAGCCTAACCTAAGGATATGCTTGCTTTATTATTTGTTTGTTTATTTACTTATTGGAAGAGGGGAGAGAGAGATTAAGTTGCCCACTGTGTCCTCGTGTGTGGCACAGGGCCTAGCATATAGTAGGTATCAATAAACATTCGTGAAATAAGAGAGAAATTGAGTCATTAAAAAAAAAGAGAGAGACAAAATGAAGAAAAGAAAGCAAGAATCTATTGACCGCAGCAAACGCTACTGAGGCCAGTGAAACAGGAGGAGCATAGAGGAAGCCACAGGAGGGCCAGGCCTGCTGCTGGCTCATGGGAGGTCAGAGAACAGGGGGCCTGGGGGGCAGGTCAGGAGTCGGCCTGCCCGTTGCTCCCTGGTGGCTGGTCCCCTGGGGCCCCTCAGGGGTTAGGAGGCGCCCACCTGCGGGGAAGGAGAAGGGGAGGGAATGGAAGGGCTGGTCCCTGGCCGGAGAGCACTGCCCCTCCTGTTCAGGGTTAAAAGGCGGGTGTTAAGGGGAGGTCTTAGGGGTGGATCAATGGACCATTCATCAGTGTTTTTGCTGATGGGCCCAAATGAGACTTATTCTCTCCATTTGCCTGTCCTGGGCGTGGCTGGCGGTGGCACTGAATGGGTTTCTGTTCTCTTCGCCCTAAGCTGGGAGATTTCAGCGACTTTCCCTGTGGCTGGGGAGGAGCACAAAGCCTTCACTTGGGTCTCCCTGGTGTAGGGGAGCCAGGCCTGACTAGGTGGCTGCAAACTGCTGTCCGCTTCCTGGACCTTCGCTGGCTCTTCTATTCTTTACCATCTGATGGCGGGGAGGGGTCCCTGCACCCCGGCACGGCGGCGGGGCCCCTGCCCGGCAGCGCCCACCGCGGACAGTGCCCGCGGCCTGGGCCAGAGCCTGCGGGAACCGCCGGGATCCGGGCTCCTCGGGCCCTGGCTTCCCGCCGGGGGTGGGAGGGACCCCATCCGCGCCGCAGGGAGCCCAGCCCGCCGCCCGCCCGGCTCCGCCAGGAGGAAGCGCCTGGAGCGCACAGCCCCGCGGCCGGCTTTCCGCCTCCACCGCCCGCCCTTCCGCCCGCCCGCCCGGCTCCCCGCGCGCCACGCCCCTGGCCCCGCCCACCACACAACTGGCCCCGCCCTCCACGGCCTTGCCCCGCCCCTGGCCCCGCCCTCACGGGGGCCCGGGCCCGCCTCTCCCGGGCCTCTCCTCCGAGGCCTGCCTGTCACAGGCGCCGCAGCCAATCAGCGCGCGGAGTCCCCGCCCCCGCCCCCGCCCCGGCCAATCGCCGCGCCCGGCGCCTCGGCCGCTCGGCGGCGCTCGGCAGTCTCCGGCGCTGGCTGTGCAGGGCGCCCGCTCGCGGCCGGCGCTCTCCTTTCCGGGTTCGGAGCCGATCCGGGGCCGGGGCGCCCGATGCCTGGCCGCCGCGGCCCGGAGCCCGTACATGGATTATCTGGTAGGTGCGGGCGGGGAGCCGCCGGGCCAGCCCGCTCCCCCCGGACCCGATCCCGATCCCGACCCCGATCCCGATCCCGATCCCGATCCCGGGGCGCGGGGCGCGGGGCGCGGGGCGGCGGGGGCCCTCCCGGGAGGCGGCGGGGCCGGGCGGGGCTGACAGGTGAGGGCGCGGGCCGCCCGGTCCCCGGTGCAGCGCCCCCGCCCCGATCCCATTAACCAGCCGTCACCCCAGTGGCTCCTGAGTGCCCGGCGGCCGCTCATTTGCGCGATTAGATCTCGGGAGCGGTGACCCGGGTCCGGGGCCAGGCTTTAAAAGCCGTAAAGCGCCGGCCGGCCTGCAGCCCCGGCCCGCCGCCCGCCGCTCACCTGCGCCCCCCCTCCGGGCCCCGCCGCCCGCCGCTCACCTGCGCCCCGGCCCCGGAGCGCCCTCCCGGCTGACCGTGGACGTGGGGGTGCGGGGGCGGGGGCGTGGGGGTGCGGGGACCGTGCGGGCTCCTCGCCTGGTTGCAGACCTCAGGCTGCCCGGCTGCAGGTGCAGGTGCAGGCTCCCGGCGTCCCGGTGGACCGGGGCCGGGCTTGGTCCTGGGAGGTCACCAGGCGTTGCCCTGCCAGCCAGACCCGAAGGCCATGGGAGAGGCGGGGGTCGGCCGCAGTGACCTCCTGTTACCCTCCTGTCCCCCGGTGGTGGGCAGATGCCGTCGTTGTGCAGGGCCGATGGGCCTTCTAGGAACTGGGCTGGTGCTGGCGGACAAAGGCGCCGATGCTCTCCAGGCGGACGGGAACGCCGGGCAGGCGGGTGGTGCTGGTGCCGTGGAGGGGGCTCAGTCCGGGGAAGGAGACGAGAAGGCTTCCCGGAGCCTCCCGCCTGCCCCGGAGCCGAGCGCGGGAGCCGCAGGCACTCCCGGAGAGAGGAGAATGCTCTGGTTCCAGTGCTGTTTGCTGTCCCTGTGCCGATGCCAGTACTGCTCTGTGTCTGGGTGGCGGAGGCACGGGTGCCACCTGCCCCGGAGCCGGGGAAGGGCCTGTCTGAGTGTGCCTGTCTCTTCACCACACTGCGTCCTAAAGCCGCCTCGGAGGTGTCAGACCCGCCAGTGCGTCTGGTGGGAGAAGAGAAGGGAAGCCGTGGTTGTTCGGCGGCCGGGTGACTCCCTGGTGAGCGTCCACCCAGGAGCCGGGGTGCAGGCCGGGTCCCCATCGGGAGGGATGAGGAGGTGGCCATCAGTGACCCTCTCTCATCGCTGACGTTTCTCTCTCGCTCTCTCTCCCCCTTCCTCTCGGAAATCAGTAAGAATATATTTAACAAAAGGAGATGTCAGTCTTTAAAACACACAAAAACACCAAGCCCGCCGGAACCGCACTGACAAGCGGACCACAGGTCTCCGGTGGTTGTGGCTCCTTTCGCTGGGCCTCGCGGGAAGGCTGTGCCTCCCTCCTTTCTCACCGACAGGATTCACATGGCGCCGGTTACAACCAGGCCCCGGAGAACGAAGGTCGGTTTTGGTGACTGTATCGGGGATCCTGTTTTCAGAGTTCACCAGGCCCCAAGTCTTTACTGTCCTCCAGGGGAGCAGTGCTTCTCTCACTCCGAGGCCGAGCCTCGTTCGCGGGTGCGCTGAGCGCGGGGGCCAGCGCCAGCTCCCGTCTGCGCACAGACACATGATGCCTGTGCCAGTGTGTCCTCGCTTTTCTTTGTAGTAGATGTTTGGTTTTCTTTAAAAAAAACCCCCACACTATGTTTTATTGTTGTTTTCAGAAAGAGAGGGAGGGAGACGGGGGGGGGGGGGGGGGCGGGGGAGAGAAGCATCCGCTGCTTGCCTTCCCCTGGGAGGGAGCCTGCAGCCCGGACTGGGATCCGAACCAGCGACCTCTGGGGGCCTGGGATGATGCTCCGGCCGCCAGCGGCCAGCCAGCGTGCGGAGCGACTTCCTGTCGCTGCTGGGAGCGGAGGGCTGTGTGTGAGCTGCCATTGTTTGTGGGGCTGGATGCCACCGGAGGAGAGCGGGGAGGAAGAGGAACGGGAGGAAGACGGACGGCTATTTTTAATTGTTTTTAATAAGGCTGCGGATGTGACGGGGTGAGGACGCTCTCTGATTGTGGAGGCCGCTCCTGATTTCTTAACTTCGAGGAACGGTCTCAGGGAGAGGGGCAGGGACGGGCCTTCGTCTGTGCGCCAGGTTTTGGTTGACTTCGGTTCGAGGAGAAGGCGGTAGCACGCATCGCGGGCGCCCAGCGTGGCTGCCGAGCGGAGTGAGTGTGAGACGCGGGCACTGCCCTCACCAGCTGCTCCCGCGGGAGATAGGATCTGTTTGGATTCAGTGTTCTGTTCCGGGGAATGCAGAATGTAGCCAGCCTGTAGCCGTCTCCCTTCGCTGACGGCGATCGAGATAGCAGGGGCGCAGCCGGGGGCGGCGTAAACAGGAAAAGCCCGGTTTTCCCGGCGGCGAGGGGCTCTGCCGCGGCCGTCCACCCGCCTCCCACGCTCAGGCGGGCTGTGAGGCCCTTCGTGCAGCCCGTCTGCCGCTCCAGCAGGCGGCCAGCCTCTTCCCGGACCTGCGGGGCCAGCGGGGAAGGCGGGAGGGGGCCGTCGGTGACCACCTGCCCCGTGTGGCTAAGGGAGAGAGCGGAGGGAGAGGAGCGTGGAAACCGCACGCTGCTTCTCAGACGCAGGAGGCCGGGCGGGCGCCGTGGAGGGACCGCGCCGGCTGGGGGTGCACACGGCCGCCTCTACCGGCAGGTGCGGTGCCCCCGTCAGCGGAGGTCGAAGGCTCTCGGGGGTTGGTTCCGCCTGTGAGACTGAGCCGCGTCCTGGGCTCACGGATCCACTCAGCCCGAGTCCATGGAGCCCGCGGGTGGGTGGCCCTGACCGGCACGGGGGGAGGGCAGGGGGTGGGCGCCGGACGCGTGGCCTTGGCTGTGGGCCGTGGGGCGGGGCGTGCTCTCCGGGACCGTTCTCCGGGGACGGGCTGGGGAAGGCGGGGGCGGGGGAGCCGGGGCCTTCGGGAGGCGCTCCCTCTCACTCCCTGTGTCCCTTTGTGTTCCTGTGACCTTGATCGCAGAGGGAGTGACCGCTCCCCACGTGGGAGCCTGGGGTCAGTGGCCACTGCTCGGGTACCGTGCGTGGGATTAGCGAGGCCTGGCCCTGGCTTCCCCCGGGGGAGACGAGGGCCCGGCGGCTGTCATCACAGGCAGTGCCTGGCGTTACATATAAAAACATGCGTGTGAGGGGGCGCTCCGCTGACAGGAAGGAGTTCTCGTCCATCACCGCTCGCACGATAAAGACCAGTTGACCAGTGGACTGCCAGCCGGCCCGGGAGCGGACTCCGTGACGGCCCCAGGCGGGGCCGAGCCGTGAGGAGGCTGTCCGCCAGCCGCCACGGAGCTGGGAGGCACACGCGTGCTCCCGTCTGTGGTCGCCTGTCCTAACAGCGCGCTGTGTTCAGCTCTGTGCCTGTGAACGCCACCCGGTGTCTGTTCCCGGGGGTCACCTGGACATAAAGTGCCCGCACAGCCGGACTTTAGTTCTGACTGGACTGGCCAGGGTCAGTCACATTCCTCTGTGAGTAAGCATCAGGGGATAGTGACGGGCGCGCAGCAGCAGGTGATAGTGACGGGTGTGCAGCAGCAGTCCGCCGCGGACTCTCCTCGGGAAAGGCCTGAGAGCGTCCCGCGGGCAGGGCCTCTCAGAGGCTCGGCTCCCGTCTCCGGCGCGGGGCCCTCCTATCTAACTGAGACAATGGTCTTTCTTTTTTGTTTTATTACAGTTCTTTAAATTGATTTTTTGAAAGGAAGGGAGTGAGAGAGAAAGAGAAACATCGATTTGTTGTTTCACTTTTTAAAAAACCCTCTACCTGAGGGCTTATTGATTTTAAAGAGAAGAGGGAGATAGAGAGAGAGAGAGAGAGGGAGAGAGAGATCAATGTGAGAGAGAAGCATCGAATGGTTGCCTCCCTTACGCCCCCTAAAGGGCTGGAACCCGCTCCCTGGGCATGTGCCCTGCCGGGAATCGAACCCGAGACCCTTCAGTTTACAGGATGACGCTCTAAGGAACTGAGCCACGTGGACCACGCTGTCACTCATGCAGGCAGTCCTGCCCTGACCCCGATGAGCCCGCCGCCTTCACATACCCCGATTCCTCCCGTCTCCTGTGAGTGAGGAGAGGGCACACGGGCATGGCTGTGCCCCTAGGAGCCCGTGGCGAAGGGCGCCGGCCGGGTGGGGTGGGTGCAGAGCGCAGAGCTTTGTGGGTGACATCAGTGAGCGCCCGCTGTGTGCCACGCGCCGTGGCATTCGGCGAGGCCCGGGCTGACGTGGCACAGGCCTCCCCCTCCTCCTCCACGGTGCCCGGCGAGGGGACGCGGGTGAAGCCGACGGTGTGTCCCACGTAAATGCGGGGCCGGGTCCTCGGCACGGCCTGCGGGGCCAGGCCCCCCGCCGCCCACAGGGGCTCCCAGTGTCCGGGCCTGGCCCTGCCGAGGGCCTGAGGACAGGCTGTGAGGAGACACCGCTGTCCCCGCCTCCCACCGCGTCCGCCCGGCCACCTGCTGGCCTTCAGCATCTGCCCTCTCCTCTGACGTCGTCCCCCCCATTAGCCCCTGGCCCGGCTCCAGGGACCGGCCCCGGCCCCCCAGGCGCTGGCTTCCTTCATCTGTCCCTCCGCGCCTCTCCCCAGAGCTGCGTGCGGGGCCATCCCGCAGCCCCGGCCATCGCCTCTCCCTGGTGGCTGTCCGCAGGCAGAGGCCCGGGAGGACCCAGCTAGCGGCCGCCCCGAGGTGGATGGGGAGGAGGAGCGGCTGGGGTGCTGTCGTGCCTACGTGGGGGGTTACGGAAGCTCAGGTCCCGGGACGGCCCCGCTGGCTGTGGGGGCTGTGACTGGGCGAGGAGCCCCCGCCTGGCGCCTCCCCGGATGCGTTAGCTTTGGGGGCGCCCCAGGCCAGGTCTCCTGGACCCTGGTTTCCGAGGGTCTGGGAAGTGTTGACCCACTGACTTCCCACGAGGCCG